CCCTTTTAAAAGAAAATAATGTTACCACATACATACTATATATCTCTAAATAACACATTGTCTAGTGTATGTATTTTTCTGTAACTTGCCTTTTTCATTCAGCATGTTTTTAGATTCATGTATGTTGCTCTATATGCTATGATTCATTCCTTTTCACTATTGTACAGTATTTCATTATCTGAGTAGACTGAAATTGATCCATCCATTATAGAAATGTTGATGGACATCTGATTTCTGTTTTTCTGCTATCATAATGTGGTTGTACCAATTGAAATATCACCACTAGAAGTATATCAGAGTTCCCACTGCTCCACATTCTCATCAACATGGGATTATATTAAATTTTAAAGTTTTTGCCCATCTGGTGGGCATGTAATAGTATCTCATTGTGGTTTTAATTCCCCTAGTTTCTAATTAGCACTTTTCATATGTCTACTGAACAATAGGATTTCCTATTTTGTGATGTGCCTGTTAAAAGTCTTTTCTTTGTTTTCCTTGTATTAAGCTATTTGTCTTTCTCGGGTTGATTCACAGCTCTTTATGTATTCTGGGCATTACTCTTAAGTCCTAGTGTTCTGGTCTTTACCATATTCTACCTTAAGATGTGATTCTAGGAAGACATGCACTTCTTACCTGTATTCTCAGGTCCTGCTGGAGAAACATTTTGGGTGAAAGAACCAACACCAAGACCCAGCCACTCCAACATCATGGACTGCTTCGAACGCTGGAAGGAAACCCATTCACCATCCTGAGGAAGGAAGAATTATCATTCACAAGGATTCTGTGACAACCAATGTGAAGGCAGGGTCTCTTCAAAGGATCAAAAATTCAGAGGTTGCAAACTGGCATCCTTTGGGCAACTGGAACATTTAACATGACTTGATAGAATTTTAAAAATTATTACGTTTCCAGCCTCTCTTGACAAAATCAGGAGCTATGGCAACCACGAGCCATCCCATTAGTGAACGGCAACAAATGACTGGAGCTGGGTTGCTGCCACTCCTTTTTCAGTTTGCCACACTCCTTTCTACTTCCTAATGTTTCACATCTAGACTGCTTCACTTATTTATAAGACCTGATTGACCTCTCTAAGCTTTTGGGTTTATAACCCTAGAAATCACCAACCCAATGATAATAGAGCTAACATTTCACTGGGTTCCTGGCCAGCCACTTTACAGAGATTGTCTCAGTTACTTCTTACAATATCCTTTGAGGGCAGGTATCATTATTATCCCTATCTGATTGCTGAGGATCACATTGGCCCAAGTCACACAGTCTGCATGACTGAGGTCCACCAACCCCCAACCTCTCTCTCTTTTTTTTGAGATGGGGTCTCACTATATCACTCAGGCTGGTCTTGAACTCCTGGCCTCAAGTGATCCTACCACCTCAGCCTCCTGAGTAGCTGGGACTACAGGCTACAGCCACTGTGCCCAGCTCCCAAGCTCTCTATATGTGCTAGGTTGCCTCTGGTTATAATTTTGTTTATTTCACTTAATAAACACTAATAGCACATTGATTAAATTAAGAGGTTTACAAATATTGACTTATTTATCCAAATAATCCTATAAGAATTAAGCTGATTTATAAGAAATTACCATTTCTGCAAGTCAAATTTATAAATATTGGCAATTGCATATGGTTCCGCTTAATTCTTATTATCCCCACTTTATAAAAGAGGAAGCAGGCACTGAAAAATAAGGTAACTTGCCCAGAGCAATGCCAGGACTCAAACCCTGACGTCTAATTCGAGAGTCTTGTTTCAAACCAGTACACTCAGCTTCTTCTCATCATGAAAGGGAACTTTTCACATTGTAGCGGCCTCAGTTTACCAAACAACTAAAGCTTTGGATGACTGCTTCTGTTGGAGGCTCCCTCCTAGTCCTGAGGCAAGGGAGATATTTATGCCACCCAGGATGACCCCTACCTGCACAGGTCCACGCATGAGGCTTTCCCAATGCTGCGGGGAGATGTACTTCTCCAGGAACTGTTCCCGTAGGACTCCGCGCATGGTGCACTCCAGGGTCCGGGCCCCTTCATGAAGATCTTGCTCTGACTCCTTCATCTGTGTCACAATCTGCCAAGAATAGAGGGGAAGAAATGATGAGGAAATACCATTATCCCCCAAACTCAGACCCTGCCTTGTGGGAAAACAAAGCTAAGACAGGAACAGCAAGAAGGGAGAATAAATAAATAGATCAGTCGACAAAGCAATTTCCCAAGGCACATTATTGTGGTCTTGAAACCAAAGGATTAGTATCCAAAATTTCTAAAAAGACTCGTACCAGTCAGTAAGAAAAGGACACAATAAGAAAAAGGAACAATACGGGTTGAGTATCCCTTATCCAAAATGCTTGAGACCAGAAGTGTTTCAGATTTTGGATTTTTTTTGATTTTGGAATATTTGCATTTATACTTGCTGGGTGAGCCTTCCAAGTCTGAAAATCCAAAATCTGAAATGATCCCCATAAGTCTTTCTTTTGAACACCATGTTGGTGCTCAAAAAGTTTTGGGTTTTCGAGCATTCTGGATTTTGGATGCTCAACACGTACAACAGAAAAACAGGCCAAGGATACTGTGGCAGAGACTTCAAGCCTCACAGTATCTGTTCTCTTTTTTTTAAAAATCAGGGTCTTACGCGGTTGTGCAGGTTGGAGTGCAGTTACATAATCATAGCTCACTGCAGCCTCAGACTCCTGGGCTCAAGCGATCCTCCCTCCTCAGCCTCCTGAATAGCTGGAATTACAGACATGTACTACCATGCCTGGCTTCTCTCTTTTCCTTAGTAATTAGAACTCAGATTTTTGGTTGGTCATATTTCCCTCACAATGGGCTGTAAGTAGAAGTGCTGTCGGTGGTTTGGGGGAAGGAACTTTAAGGTCCTGGCAGGGGTGGGGAGGGGCAGTGTGCGCTTCTTTGTCTTTTCTCCAGCTTGGATTGTTGGGGCAAAGGTCATGTCAAGAGATCAGCAGAATGGAATGCCGAAAGGAACCTGCTTCCTTCAGAGCTTTGAGGAGCCTCTATATCTACACTGGGCTGCCTACCCAGAAAGCCACTGCTATCTTGTTTAGGTCCCCTTGAGATATTCCAGAGCTGGGACTCACACTCATGTAGGCCCTTCGGAGGTGCATGGGGAGGTTGCGGCGGAACTCTCGCTTGTTCCTCAGCTCCCTCAGGGTGAACTGCTTCAGGACCTCGCTGTTGCTCCTTCCACCCACCCGCACGATGCTGGTCTTCTGACACTTGTAGATGCCTGTGGAGTAAAGTGGAGTATGATAGGGTAGAGAGGAGCTATGCTGGGTTCTCTCAGGTGAAAGCTATGTGTGTTTGGGATCTTGTCTCAGCTGGTCCCTTAGGGAACAAACTTGTGCTTACAGGAAATGTATCCCATTAACGAGTGAGAAGGCCCCAGAGAAGATGTGACCTGCAGAGCAGTAAAGCATAGTGCTTAATAGCACTGGCTTTGGAATCAGACAATAGGGGACTCAAATCTTGGCTATACCACTTAGTGCTGTGTAATCTGGGGCAAGTTACTTGAGTCTTAGTTTCTTTGTGATTTGGAGGCAGCAATATCTTCCTTATAGGGCTACAGTCTGGATAAGGGAAGGAATATCTTTATATCTCCTAGCTAGGGCCCCGCACAGAGCAACCACTCAGTAAATGTTAATCATTATTCACTCAGCAGATATACCAATTGCTTATATGTTCCAGGCATGTGCCAAGTTCTGAAGATATAGCAGTAAAAACACAGACTCAGTTCCTGATTTGTTCCCATGTCTTACAGTCTAGCAGAGAAGATACTCATTAAACAACTTACTACAACAGTGATAAGTGTAGTAAGTACTCTAAGTACATGATGTCATCAGTGGATAGCAGGGGACCTTACCTAATCTGGGTGGAGGGGTGGGGATCTGTTTTTGAGGATCTAATATTTAAACTGAGACTCTAATAATAAAGAAGATTTATCTAAGTGAACGGGGGTGTAGAAGAATGGAAAATAATTATCTTAAGCAAAAGGAAAAGCATGTATTTATTTATTCATTAATACAATTAGTATTTGAGTGTCTAGTATGTGCCAGGATCTGTGAATGCAGCAAGAAAATGACCAGCCCTTATGGTGTTTATCATCTAGAGTAGAGACACATAAAACAGACTACAAAAAAAGAAAAACTGCAAAAGGAGACTTAACTTTGTTTGGGGAAATAGAGAAAGTCCATCTGAAGAAGAGAGATTTAAGGTGAGACTGTAAGAATGAGCTGGAGCCAGCCAGGCTGGATGAGCTCAAGATGAAGAAAGAGGGAGAGGGAAACAAGTACATACCGGGCAGGGAAGAGCATGAGCCAAGAGAGAAGCTAAAGGAATTCAAGGATTGAAGATAATCAGTGCCGCTGGAGTTAGGGAGAATAAAGTAAGAAGCAGGCGATGGTTCAGAGTCTGGCCGGAACAGATCACACACAGCCTTGTAGGTCACGATAAGGATGTGGACTTTATTCAAAGACCAGTAAGTAGAAAGTTACTAAAGTTGCCAATGGTTCAACTATAAACATCTTGCTAGAGAACAATTTTGCCTACAGACATTACCTTCCAGAAACTGGTCCAAAGCATGATTCGTGTAACACACAACCAAGATGGGGAACTTCTGGAGGCTAATTTGCCACACGGACTCATTGGTTAGGAGGGCCTGAACAATTTTTAGACCCACATAGGTTTTGCCTAGAACATAAGAAAAAAGGAGTTAAAAAATTTAGAAACTTTCTAAAAGGAGTAATTAATTACTTAGAACAAAGTATTTTTTTAAAAAAATGTTAAAGGCAATACATTGAGATGGTTTAAAATACAAGAAACACAAATGGGCATACTGTGAAAAGTCCTCCTTGTACATCTGTCCCCTAGCCACCCAGTTCCTCTGGCTAGAAGCAACTCATGATACCAGTTTCTTGTATAACTTCCCAGACAGAGTCTTTCTATGCATATATAACAAATACAAATGTATATTCTTTTTCTAGCCTTCCCCTTTTTTTTTGAGATACAAATAGTAGCAGCCTATTCTCCCTGTTTTACATCTTGCTTTGCTTTTTTCACTTAATGTATCTCGGAGGTAGTTCTCTATCCGTACACGAAAGAAAATCCTCTCGGTTTTTTTTTTTTTTTTTTACAGCTGTAAGGTAGTTTTTAGTCACTTCCCTACTGATCTACTGATGAAATATATATATGTTTTTTCCAGTCTTATGCGGCAAATTCTTTAGAAATGCTTTTCATATACCATGGTGGACTTGCCTTTGTGATGGGAGGGGAAATCTCTTAGAAATCAACATTGGAGTTAGAGTTATCAGCTCATTAGTAACTGGCCATTAATTAATTAATTAGGCTACAAACTGCTAAATTCTAACATTATGTCAGGCTGAATACCATAATCACTGTCCTCAAAAAACTCAAAGTTGAGTGAGGGAGTGATACAAGAAAATCGGATTTCAGTAATAGCATGGTAAGTAATAATCTCTTCCTTCTTTTTTTTTCTTCAAGTAATATTTATTCAGTGCCTACCAGGTGTCTGACACTAGGATAGGTGCAAGAGATACAACAACAGACATGGTTCTTTATCCTCCCCTCCTGGACCTTACAGACTTGTAGAGGAGAAAGATAATTAATCAAACAAATATAAAATCATAAATGTGAAAAATGAGAAATACATGGACCAAGAAAACATATAACTATGATTCTGGCCTAGTCAATGGGAGAGACTTCCCCGGGGAAGTGACAATAAGCAAGAGTGGGCAAGAGGGAATGGAGGGGACTGGCTGGGAGGCTCCTGCCGTCTTCCAGGTGAGTGAAGATCAAGGCCTGGCTCCAGCAATGGAGAGCAAATCAACGGCAGACTGGGGAGAAGTTTCAGAGGTAAAATTGAGTGGAACCTGGTAATAATTTGGCAGGGGTGGGGAGTGGGGAATAAGCAGAAAAGGATAACTCCTAGGTTTCTAGTTTGGAGGACTGGATGAGATAAAGATCTCAGTAGGAAAGAGAAATCTTTTTAATTCAATATTTACTCTATTCTCTCCCCCTGCTTCCTTTCCCTTACAGTAGGTACTTCTTGGAATTTCCACCGCAAAATGATCCCCTTTCCTACTTTCTCCCATACTCACAGGTAGGCGTGTGCATCTTATAATAGTATGAAACGATTACTAAACTTGGAACTAAAGAGTCCTAATTCAAGTGATAACATTACGGGAAATTATTTGCAATATGCATATTTGAATATACAAAAAACTCCTACAAATCAACAACAAGAAGCAATTCACCAGAAATACAGGCAAAGAATATGATAGGAGCAGAAATATAAATAGCTACTAAACACAAGAAAGGATGTTTAATCTCATTTTTAATTGAACAAATACAAAGTAACCACTGTGATACACACTACCAGGGGACAATTTGGCAATATCTATTAAAATTACAAATGTACATCTCCTTGACCCAATTAGGAATTTCTCTCTTGGATGTATTCTGTTTGTGCGTGAAATGACTCACACACAAAAGGCTATTCACTAAACTACTGCTTGTAACAGTAAATATTTCTACAGAGAATTGGTTAAATAGACTTGATCTATCCATACAATGAAATAATATGCAGTCACAAACAAGAGTAAAACAATGTATGTACTAATATGAAAGGATCTCCAAGATATTTTATAAGGGAGCAAAGCAATGTGCAGAATAGTGTTTAGAGCACAGTGGGTTTAAAGAAAGTGGAAGTAATAAAGGTAAGTATACATTTGCTTGAATATTCATAGCATATCTCTGGAGGGATACGCAGGAATATGATAACATTGTTTGCTTTAGGGAAGGAAACTGACTAGGATGGTGGGAGAAGGGAGATAAGGACCTTGTAAAAAAAAAAATGAACCATTATTTATTTATTTATTTTAAAAAAAGGTTTTTTTGGGGAGGGTCTTCTGGTGAGGACTAGAAAACCTGCTAGACAAATTCTAAAAGAGCTGTAACACTATTTATAAAACATAAAATTAATAATGAACCAAAAATTTTAACCTCTCAGATCAGCAAAAACTAAAAAGACTAATACCACACAATAATGCTGGAAAGGATGTAAGGAAATGGGAACACTAATTCATTTTTGGTGGGAGTATAAACTAGTACATTCCCCTCACTCCCTTTAAAGCCCTCAAAACATCACTTTAAATCATGCATATTTTTCCATCATATGGGTGTTTCTTATCAGAAAGAACTTTTCTATTCTGTTAAAGTTTTTTTTCTTTTTTTATAGAGACGGGGTCTCACTGTGTTGCCCAGGCTGGAATGCAAGACATGATCATAGTGTACTACAGCCTTGAACTCCAGGGCTCAAGCAACCCTCCTGCCTCAGCCTCCCGAGTAGCTGGGTAGGTATGTGCACCATGCCCAGCTATGTTACACAAAGTTGTTTTTTTTTTTTTTTTTTTGAGACAGGGTCTCGCTCTACTGCTTGGGCTAGAGTACAGTGGCGTCATCACAGCTCACTACAATCTCAACTCCTGGGCTCAAGCAATCCTCCTGCCTCAGTCTCCCTAGTAGTAGCTGGGACTACAGGTGTGTACCACCACGCCTGGCTAATTTTAAAAATTTTTTTGTGGGAATGGGGTCTTGCTACATTGCTCAGGCTAGCCTCAAACTTGTGGGCTCAAGCAATCCTCCTGCCTCAGTCTTCCAAAGTATTAGAGTTACAGGCCACCTAACTGAGCCTAGTAACAATAAAGTGGTTTTAATAATGGTTTCTACTTTCTACTTCACAGGGTTGTTGTGACGATGCAATGAGTTAACATATATAAAGCATGTAAACAGTGCTTAGCACCTATTGCTATTATATTTTTGATACTATTTAATTGAAAATAATAAGAAATTCAACAAATTAATGTATCCTTTGGTGAACCACAGATAATGCATCATCTCCCTAAATTTGACCTCTAGCAGTTTTTTCTAATCTTGTGATTTTGGTTTATCACTATGCATGCCAATGAGTCCCCACTGGAAAATTACTATAAGCAGCTACTCTATAAACAACTTTTATGCCCATTTCAGGAGAATGTTTCTAAATGAGACATTCTAGAAACCTCAGGTCAAACCTTTGCCTATCTCGTAGGGCAGATGTCATGTGCTCTGAAAAATTTTCTGTCTTACCTGTTCCGGGAGGTCCTTGAATAATTGCCAGTTCCCTTGTGAGAGCAAACTGCAAAGCTTCCATCTGGGAGTCATCCAGCTTCAGGGCTTCTTTTGAGGGCCATTGGCTAGGGTCTAAGACATTAATCCTGGGATGTCTCAAGCCCTCAGGATTCCTCAGAGATTCCCCAGTGGCTGAGGGATTCTCTATTAATGGGGTAAAATCATATCTGCCCCCTAACAGCAAATACCTTGGCTCCTCCACATGAGAGTCACATTCTACAATGTTCCTCTGAAAGGGGATGTCTTCCTCTTGGATCTCCTGGAGTCCTTCCAGGACATGCCTGTAGGCTTCAAAGTATGCGGTTGTTTCCACCATGAGGAAAGAGTCAGAGGGCTGGACCTCTGTTAGCAGCTGTTGGCTCTGTTCATTGAAGCAGAGCTGGACAATTCCTCGGCAGAGATCTTCCTGTTCCCGGTTAGACACAGTGGCAAAAAGAAATGTCTCAAAGTTGTCCTTGGACATGCATACCAAGGACCCATACAGCAATCGCTTGGAATTCTGCCAGCGAACAAACTTTAGTGGTTTTGTGTCAAACTGCACCTTGTACACAATGCCTGATGATGAACACAAGGGGGTGATAATCCTGGTATCAAAGTAGATTCGGATGTCATCAAACTTTCTCTTCCTCAGGCACTGGTCTTCAAAGCTTTGGAGAAGTTCCAAAATGCCTTCCCGTAGAGGTCTGACAAAGTCTTCTCGCAGGAGTCGGAAGTGGGTATCCAAATAGATAGCAGTGCTGTCATATTTTCCAGAAATGATGTTGGGGCGAAGGAAGGGCCTCTCATCCAAGTGCACTTCATTGTAGGTAGGGTAAATGGGCATGGTCCGGTAGCTCTCAACATGGTCTTCTGCCTCAGGCTGCACTAGGGTATAGGTATCCACTCTCAAAGTGCCCTCTCGCCTCTTTTCCTGTAGATGTTCAATGATGGTCTGCACCTTTTCCAGGTTCTTCTCTGTCTCCTCGTCTATGTCAACACCAGAGGCTCTCAAAGCATTAAGAGAAGCTGGCAGGAGAGAAATGAGCATAGAAGTTTCCTGCACAGAGCTGGCAGGGAAGACACTTACAAGGTCCTGGAGGAGAGAGATGATGTTGCTTATGTGTTCTGGATACTGGTTTCGAATGTCAAGGATGGGTTCAGTGATCATCCCTACTACATAAGCAGGCAGGCAGACTTTGAGGAATTTGGAATTCTTCAATATGCCCAGTACATGGAGAATGCTCTGGCGGTCCATTTTGGAACTGCAAGCCTTCCGAAGAACCTGGCAGATGAGTTCAAGGAAGTTGGGTTTCATGGAAGAATGAGACAGGAGCTCTTTCAGCCCTAAACTTGTGGCAAGTGTGATGACCACCTCAGAGGGGTCTTTCTGCAGAAGACTTTCTAGAAACTTGTAGCCCAGTTTCTTCACCTGCTGTGACTGTTCTGCAGGCTTCTGGAGAGGGGTCCGCCATTGCTGAAAGTTTTCATTGGACCATGGTGGTCTGTGGTTCCTGTCCTCTTGGTTGCCATTTCTCCGCCTGGTATCATTCTCCTGATCATGTCTTTGGCCCCTAGCTTCGTCATTGGGATGTCCCTCCTGGTTCCTCCTTCCCTGATGTGGGTTCCTGCCCATGGCCCTAAATCTTTCTTCTCTTTGCCGGTAAGGAACAGGATGGTTGTTGGTCCTAGGATGTCTTCCGGGACGGTTGGCTCCTCCTCTGAGAGCATTGGCTGGTGGGTTATTGGCCTGATTTCTAGCTCTTGGTGGTAATTCTCCATCCACAGGCCCTAAACACAAATGGAATACTGGGTAAGCACAGGAGTCAAAGGGCAAGGAAACCCTGTTGGACAGCAATGAACGTGTTCTAATTTTCCAAAACAACTAAGGAACTCAGGTTTTATTTGGAGAGAAAAATTCCTACCAAGTTGTATAATAAATGAAAGATAATTATTGTTGCTGTATAGATTATGAAAACACTTTTTCCAAAGGATGCAAAAGAGAAAAGGAATAAACATTTATTCAGTGTCTAATACATGTTAGAGAATAAATACATATAGTATTTCATTTAATCCTCACAATCTTGGACTTAAGTATCAGAGGGTTGAAAAGATTAGCTCTTTGCTTGTTATCTCTTGCCAATACCAAACAATAGTCAGAACATTCCAGGGCCAAACAGACCTGGTTCAAATCTTGGCTTGGTCACTTCCTCACTATATAACCTTGGCCACATTGTATAATTTCTCTAAGTTTCAGTTTCTGGGTTTTTGTAAAGATGAAATGTTTACAAAATGCTTAGTATAGTACCTGACACATAAAAAGTTCTCAGCAAATGTTAGTTATCAATAGTAGCAGTAATAATAATTTTTTATTGGGAATAAATACCCTATTGATTCTAAACAGTTCTGATACTAAACAGTTATGACAGGCAACAGAGACATCAAGTGGAATAAAATTACGAAGGGAAACACTACCTAAACTTTGCCCAGCATCAGCAAATGCAGTCTGAATCAGAAAGAGAAAGGTAAGGCTTCCTTTCCCAAGATGTTTTTGAGCTAATCAATAGACTGTGAAGGAAATTGGAAAATGAAACTCAAGTTTCGTTTCAGGAAACTGAGAAATGAAACTCAAGCTTTCCTCCTTTCTGGAGCATGAGTTCATCCACATAGTGCTTATCAATTACCAACCCTCAAACAGGAAGTGGGTGTGGGAGGTGGGTGGTGAGGAGAACACACCCAGCACACACAGGAAAGCTAACATCACTCTGTGGATGAAGCCAAACTCATCTTCCCTGATCTGCCACACATTTCATAAATGACTTTGCCCAACATACCTGAAGTTCAGTTTTTTCACTTTCCTTTTTGCTAAAACTGATTCTGCTGACTCAACTTAGAAAAATGTGGAGATTTTAAAAACAAATAAGACTGTATACAATGATTTGATGATTTAAAATGTTACGAAAACTTCACATGCACATTATATTTGAGATGCTCATAGCCATTTCATGACATCAGATGCTAAATCCATTTGTGTACATTTTTCTTTGTTTTGTACTTTGTACAGAAATTTTAATGTGACAACATAAAGGAATATTTGGTAAACTATAAATGCTGTACAACTGAACTCTAAATTTTTATAATTGTTACTTTCATATTTACTTTTCAAACTCCTAAAATATCAGAAGTCCTACTTTTAATATTTTGATCTGATTAGAAGACTCTATATTTTGAAAGAATGGAAAATCGTGGACTATATTGTTTCCCATTCTTTCAACATTCACACAGCTCATAAAATAAAATCTCACAGTTCTTCCTCATTTGTTCCATAGCTAAAACTCAGAAGACACGTTGCAAACTTAAGGAAAAGCAGCAAACCATTTGGTTGTTTTCTTTTAGCAAGTTCTGAGCAAACAGAACAATTCCTTTAGTCAAGTGATGCTCTTGGAACTATCTTTGCTCTGATGCCTAGGACTCAAGACCTGCACTTTCCAATAGCCACTAGCCACATGTGGCTATTAAGCATGTGAAATGTGGCTAGTCTGAATTAAGATGTGTAAAACACATGGGATTTTGAAGACTAATACCAAAAAAAACTGAATAACTCAATAAAAATTTTTATGTTGATAATATCTTAAAATGATAATACTTGAGTATTTGGGGGGAAATAAAAATATTATTAAAATATTATAATGAAATAAATTCAATTATTATAATGATAATATTTTGGTTATACTGTGTTAAGATAGTATGAAAGTGTCAAATTTTATTAAATTAGTAGTAAATTAAAAAATGACATGTTTCTTTTCATTTTTATTTCTTTTTGAGAATCTGGGTGCAGATGGGTAGGGGCCGAAAAAGGCGTCTGCCTCTTTTTACTTTTTAAAATGGTGTTACTAGAAAATAAAAAAATTATGTTTTTGGTTTATATTATGTTTCTACTGGATAGTGCTGTTCCACACCAAGAGTTATTTCCATTTCTGAAACCCTATCACTATTTTTGCTAAAGTGACTACACCCATTCATCAGCTCTCTTAGGGAAAGTGGAGGGCTGTCTGTCTTTCAGAGTCATTCATACTATAGCTAAGGAATTCTCCACTTGAGAGATGTAGGCAATCTGAGGTGGGCCTGCTCATTCATACAGAACTTAATTTTCTTCTCATATTACTAGAATTTCCTTCTCATTAGGTAGGAAACCTTGCTTACCTCTGTGATTGGTATGGGAATTCCTGGGTCTGGCCTCCAGATGAGGTCTTCTTTCCTCCATGTCTGAGTCACCTGAATTTCTCTGTGTTCACGTTACTTTCAGTTATCTGGAAAACTGCACAGGTTGAGAGTTATCAGTGCCCTTGAAACACAGCAGCTAGCAGCAAAAACCCAAACACCATCAAGCCAGTCCTTTCTTCCTCTGTTAACGTTTTAACAATCCGTTAACTAAGAGTTAATGCAGATTTTAATCAACGAATGCCCAATTGTGACACAAAACATTAAATTCACAATTTGGGGTGATTTTTCTCAAGGGTGAAATTCCCCTTCCTTTTACCCTGGCACTTTCTTGGGGTAGAAGGAATGTCACCAAATCCCATTGAAAACTACTGTTTGGTTTATGCCTTTAGCCAAGGTACTTAATTGGTTGCTAGGTTTCATTTTCCTCTCTTATAAAGCAGACAAATATTGTTGTCAGGGCAAAAAGGAGTACATTTTTGTTAATCCCAAACCATGTACTCACCACCGTATCTGGCATTTTATATTACATAGTACTCCATAGCTTGTAGTATTCTATAGTTTATAAATAATTAGTGAGCAGCTATCACTTATCCTACTCTTTGGAACAGAGCCAAATGATTAAGCCCTCCACTCTACTGAATCAAGAGAAAGAAATTACACGTTTCAATAACCAGGAGGCTTGGCATCTGCGAGGTGCTGTTTCCTCCGGACCAGCTAAAAATCAGCAATTCTTTCTTTCTCCTCTTTCTTCTATCTTGACGGTTTTTGACACTGGTCCTATAAGAGGAAGAGGAAGCCCCTTTAAGGGAACTTCTCAATCCAACTCATAAACATCATGTGGGTTAGGGCTAGAGAAAGAGTAGGTGACTCAGAGTCCTCAGCAAAGGGATTTTTTAAACTGTCCTCACTGAGTTTTAAAATATTCATACTTGGAAACTGTGAATAGATTTGGCATTATATGAGGGGTAGCTTTTATCCTCATCAGAAAAAGGAGTCCCTTTTCTTCCCTCTGGGAAGAGTTCTGGTGAGTCTCTTCCTTCATCTTATCAAACCCAGCTCTCATGGCCCAGGTTCAATATTTAGAGTTTGGGTTTTTAAAAAATTCTCCGAGGGTAAAATTCCTTCTTCCTCTTGTTGAAAGATACTAAAATAGAAACCTAGAAATTTCCGGGGATAAAAGAAATGGAAGAAAAGAAAAAAGGAAAGGCAAGGCAAGGAAGGGAGGAGTAGATAGAACAGGAAATGCTGTGATATAAACAGACTAAAGTGATTTTTTGGGGGGAATCAAGGCCTAAAGGGCAGGAAGAAGAAAATCAGTGATGGTCGAGCTGGCACAGGAGTCAGAATCAGAGGAGAATGGTAACTACCAGGGTAGCACGACAGAGGTGGAGGCAAGAGGTCAGAAGAGCTGGGTTTCGGAGCGAAGTCTCCAGGATCCCGGAGCAGGCAGGGGCGCCAGGGAGCCCACCCGGTCCTGATGCAAGTATTATGCGGTCAAGGGAGGGCCAGGCTGTTGAGGTGCCTTGCGAAGGAAGGCGCCATCCCCAGGCTGAGGCGGGGGCATGAGGGAGAGCTGGAGAGGTTCGGGGGCCTCGGGAAGAAGAGGGTGGGGCAGAGTTCACCTGGGGGGCGCCTGAGTAAAGAGGGGGCACCTGGGATGCTGGGGATGTTCTGTGGAAGATGGGGCATGGATGAGGCGATAGGAGGCGAGGCCAGAGAGAGATAAGCGGTGGCTGTAGCAGCAGGGGAGGGCAGAGACAGGGGTGAGTGATGGAGCTGGTGAGGCCGGGGACAGAGGTGGGTGACCGGGGCGCCGGGGAGGGCAGAAGCCGCGACAGAGGTGCCGGGCGAGCTGAGGGGATGGGGGACGCTAAAGAGAGTACTGAGGCTCCGAGGGGGGCGAAAGGAACGCCGGAGGCTGAGGGGATGGCAGGGGCGCTGGGGAGAAGGGCCAGGGGCTCCGAGGGAGTGGAAGGACCGCCGGGGCTCTGCGCACAGGCAGGAGCGCGGGCAGCGGCGGGGCGGCGCGCGTGCGCGGCGCGGCAGGAGCAGGTGCGGGGCCGGGGCGGTGGCCGCTTACCCGGCTCCGGCGCGTCCTCTGTCCGCCGCCGGCTGGTGCTGGGACTCTGGCCGGGGCAGGTCGGCGACCTCGCCCGAAGCCGCGCACTTTCGGTTTCCTTTCCCTGCAAGCCCTGGGCGGGGCGAAGAGCCGGGCGGGCGGCCGGAGGGGTGGTGGAGGGAGGAGGGGGAGGAGGAGGAGGAAAAGGAGAAGGCGGGGGCTTCGGGGCGGCTGGCGGGCGGGCCGGGCCCAGGCACCGCCGACACCTCCGCCCTCAGGGCGGGCGTTGCCTTAGCTCCCCCCAGCGGCGTGGCCGGTGAGCTCGAGAGAGCGCGCCTGAAGGGAGGGGCCGCGCGGGGCGGGTTAAATGAGCCCAGGGCTGCGCAGGCCTCAGCCGGCCCCGGAGGAGGGGGGGCCCGGCGGGCGGCTTGGTGCGTGTGAAGCACGACATGGCGGCGAGGCCGACAAGCCTCGGTGGCCCCCTGTGTACAGGGAATGGGGCAGGGCTAGACGCGGCCTTGAAAACCATTAGAGCGCCTCGGGATGGTAGGCTGGGAGACTACATTTCCCAGGGGCCCCCGCGCGGTGCGGGCGGGAAGCAGGGCACCTCGGGCTCAGTGCGCAGGCGCCAGCACCTCCTTTGGTTATATAAAGGCGGTCCCGGGGCTGTTCTTTCTTTTGCGTCTGCGGAGCTGTTGTGGTGTTTGTCTGTTACGATCGTGCTCAGTACGATGTCGTCCAGTCCGGGGAACTCCGCTTTGTGTGTGGTGAGTGGAAACCCTACAGTTCTCCATCCGAAATCTCTGGTCCTCCTTTATCCTTCCGGTGCCGTCGTCTCTGCGGCCGGCCCTACTCTACCCCTCGCCGCGGCCCTCCACCTCTGACCTCAAGTAGGCCTTAGGGCCGCGGGGGAGATGAGTTAGAGCTGGAAAAATCCGCGCCTTCTGCACGGGCCTAAGGAGTCCTTGGCTGGTGTAAATGATGACTCCACTTTTTTCCCCATCAGATCGACAATGCTGATGTCTTACAACACTTGCCAGTTATTTCTGATACGCCAGCTTATAAAAAGACCCACAGCTCTGTTTTCTGACCGTGGGAAGGTGGTGGTTGATTCCCTTTCTTTGTCGATGCACAGGTTAGAGGGCGGTCAGAGTGTACGCAATGTGTGTTGGAGCAGGGGTGACCACTGGGCCTCCAAGGGAGCCACGTGCAGACATGTGCAACCTTCGATCTCCCGACCTCTCGGGTAAGCATTTGTCTCCTGACCTATTGTATGAAACACGTGCTTTGAAGAACCTCTTAGTTAGCTAGGCAAACTTGGAAAAAAACTTGAAGATTTAACTAATTGGGTTTTTTTTTCTTTTTCCTTTTTGAGACATTGTAGCTCATTGTAACCTGAATGACCTGGGCTCAAATGATCCTCCTGACTCAGCCTCCCAGGTAGCTGGGACTACAGGCACACGCCACCACCCCTGGCTAATTTTTCTATTTTTTGTAGAGATGGGGTGTCTTTTTAAGTGTGCTGTATGTTTTATTTTATTATCGTTACAGTTTACCTATTGGACTTAGGTTCCTGGTGAAAAATCAGGTTTAAAAGAAAATGGCTGAAGTGGAGTAACTTTCGTGAAAAGGTGTTTAATGTATATATTTTTTTTTTTTGAGACAGAGTCTCACTCTTTTGCCCGGGCTAGAGTGAGTGCTGTGGTGTCAGCCTAGCTCACAGCAACCTCAAACTCCTGGGCTCAAGCGATCCTCCTGCCTCAGCCTCCTGAGTAGCTGGGACTACAGGCATGCGCCACCATGCCCGGCTAGTTTTTTCTATGTATTTTTAGTTGTCCAATTAATTTCTTTCTAATTTTAGTAGAGACGGGGTCTCGCTCTTGCTCAGGCTGGTTTCGAACTCCTGAGCTCAAACAATCCGCCCGCCTCGGCCTCCCAGAGAGCTAGGATTACAGGCATGAGCCACCGCGCCCGGCCTTTAATGTATTTTTAACGCCACTCAACACAATTTTGGATTCCATTCCTTCATGTGTGCTTTCTTGGGCACTTAAATTTCTTTCCATGTGGATGTATAATGTGTTGACGTATTTTGGAAAGCCAAATGTGGTTTTCTGTTGAGCTAGCCACTCCAGCCAATTCCCAACTGCGTGGCTTTTTTTGCTGGAGTCTAGGATTGAGGCACTTAAGGGCTGGACTTCTTGGGAACACTTTTGGAAGCTTGTCACAGATTGTTCTTTGGTCAGGTTTTTGTGATAACGTCTTCAAGTTAAAAATCTCCTGACACTTGCTCAGAAACTGTTGTCACTTCTCAACTCAGCAAAAGCTAACTATTAACTTTTGCCATCCACACTGTCTGCTATCGTATGGCCTATCCTCAAATAGAGTGTAAACTCTGAAGGCAGGGGTGTTTTGACTGTTATATCACTGCCAATGACAGGATACAACACAGAAGTGCTCAAATATTGGATGAGCTATGGAAGCATACCAAGCAAGTCTTTTTCCTCACTCAGGGTGTTCTAGGGCTCAAGAGCTTCCTGCTGGCATATGTGATGACTGAACTTTTTTCCCCTGCAGATCGACCATGTTGATCTAACTTCCTTAAGCCAGTTTCTGTCTGATATGCCAGCTTGAGCAGCTCTTGCACATCTCGTTCCCTTGGGTATCTAGCTGATGGGAGCTCATCTCTGTTTTCATCTCAGGATTGCTGTTGGCAGAAACTAGAATTTGAATGGACCCACATGAATCTGGGTGTGGGAAAGGATTGGTAAGTGGTGCCCACATGTTTTTCTTGGCTGAATAGACATAGGATCTGTGTGGGGAGGGTGGTAGCTGCTTTTTCTTTTTTTAAGATAACAGGCTCTCTTGTCTCCCAGGCAGGAGTGCAGTGGCCTGATCATAGCTTATTGCAGCCTCAAATTCCGGGGCTCAAGTGATCCTCAGCCTCCCTAGTGGCTGGCATTACAGACTTGCATCAACATGCCTAGCCTGCTTTTCTTTTTCTACTTGGACTGAAATTTGGCCTTTGCAGCTGATGACTTAACTTTTTTCCCCATCAGATCGACCCTGTTGATCTACACTATTAGCCAGTTTTGTCTGATGCATTGGCCCCAGAGATACCTTGCTTTCTGCTCACCCCTACTAGCCTACTGTCTTCTTATATGAGAGTTAAGCTTGCTCTGTTGACTTTTTTTTTTTTTTTAGCACACAGATGGTTTATTTTGGCATCATCTGTTAACGTCCTATAGGTTCAGAAGCCATGTGTGACATTGTTGTCAGCCTGATCTTCCTGTGGCTTTGTTCAGCGAGTCTTGTAACAGGTGAGGCTTCTGCTTTGTTTTTAGCGGTCAACTCCATAGCAAAATTATTTGCCTATTTGAGTATAACTTCAGGACCCATTTCCATGTTGGGTATAAGACAAGGAGAATTAAAATTAAGTCCTGAGGGCTGATGTTGGCCTATTAGTACTAATAGGTCTTCTAAGAAAGGAACTTTCTTTGTCTTGACATAATGCATCTTTTTGTGAATTATGCTAATAATGGGGAATCTGCTTTTACCAAATCAATCCCTATGTTAAATGTCATCCCCTGACTTGTCTAGTGTCTTTAATTAATGGAAGGGGCATAAGCAAACTAATGACAGTTTTCCTCCACCCCTTGAGCAGTGTTTTTGCTTGCTATAATAGATTTGATTCCTAATAATTCACTCTACAGCTTTTTAATAAAAAACTTAAATGCAGAAATTAAGTTGTAGTTAATGACACTGATCTCTCATTCACTTGTCTTTGGGTATATAAATGTGCATAGTTTAAGCACTTGAAAGTAAGTTGCTTTCATGACCTTTAGTCCGGAAAGGCTAACTTATGTGTAGATAACCAGCCTTGGCCATAGGTTCCACCACCTGTGGATAAGACTGTTGTCCCAAGTAACTGGTCCTTACAGCTGAGATATTTAAATAGTTCCCTAATGTCTGCTATTCACTTCATATTTAAATATCCCTGTTTGCTCTTTTTTTTTTTCTTTTTTTGAGACAGTCTCACTCTGTTGCCTGGGCTAGAGTGCCGTGGCGTCAGCCCAGCTCACAGCAACCTCAAACTCCTGGGCTCAAGCAATCCTCCTGCCTCAGCCTCCCAGATAGCTGGGACTACAGGCACGTGCCACCATGCCCGGCTAATTTTTTCTATTTTTAGTTGTTTGGACAGTTTTTTTATACATCTGCACTTGGGTTATGTCTCTTGAAAGTTTCCCAGCTCCCTTGGTCTGGTGCATGATTGTATATCCACCTAGTGGATGGATTTGGAATGACCCAGTCTGAAGCACATGAACCCATACACTTAAGACCAGAAGGGAGCACTGATTATAATCTACCTTTTTTCTTCTTAGAAAGTTTAACTGGAGTTGGAACACAAGACAAGGCGTCTTGAAAGAAAGACTGACCCTGTTCTCCTGAAAGTGAAGCAGTTGTTCAAGGTTATTGTATATGCAGCCTGAGTTCAAAAGGCTGTGCCCATTCTTTGAAGAATCAATTATTGTTAGACCTTGGTAAAATTGTAACCTTTCTACCTGGAGAAAGAAAATAAAATCTTTAAAGTCAAAATGCTGTTGTATTTGGCCATTGGAGGTAAACATTAATGGGGCTAACAAGTAGCAACCAGGTAGCCACATGTTTCATGTGGGTTATTTACTGGTCCCAGGTTCTTGAGGGGAGAATCAGTCTAGTGGGTAATTGGTTTTTGTGGACAGGCATGGCATTGTACATGCATTAAGTGCTAGTGATAGGGTTCATGAGCACACTTGGCTAGAAGTCCAGGGGCAGAGACAGGTAGAGAGAGGGTCAATACAAGAGCATCTGGCACACTAACACGCTTAGACCTACGTAAGATTGTATACATTAAGTTACGGATATTTTGAGATTAGTAGGGGTGATAACTATCATTAAAATTGCGTGGATTTTCAACGTGGTCTTAGAATCTTACCTTTGAAAGCTGGGACTCTGGATTTCTAAAATTGCTTTCAGTAATCCTCATAAAATTTCCCCTTAAGTGGGCTGGACCTAGTATCACTTTTGAGACTAGGTAATGAAATTCTGACTCTCACTCTCCTTGGCATGCTGCCATGTAAGAGGCCAGGTTAGCAAGGAACAATCCTCCCAACAACCATTTTGGGTTTGTAAGCAGATCCTTTCCATTGTGGAGGCAAATGTATCAAGCCACTAAGTTTTGGGTTAACTAGTTACGCAGCAGTAAATACAGAGCTCCATAATCAAATGTCTTCTCTTTAATGGCCTTGAAATCAGCCAACTGACCCTACTTAATTTCTTGCTATGACATTCAAACCTGTTTTTGTGGTGCCAGCTTACATTTCCAGACTTGTGTTCCCCTTTGTGTGTTCAATTTAACATGTCGTGTCCCAAACTGAATGTTTAACTCTTACACTCCCAGTCCCCACAAGTCCGTGTATCCTACGGTCTTCCCAAGTATTGGCAACACTAGGAGTCTGGTTGCTCAGGCCAAAAACCTTGGAGTCACCGTTGGCAACTTGGCTTTCATTCCCCATATGAAACAGCAAATCCTGTTGGTTCTATCTTCTGAAACTTGCCCCCTCTCAACCACCTTCATTGCTACCACCTCCTTGGTCCTAGCCACCAGCATCCAAACTTGGAAAACTCTACTGACGTTACCCCCTATGATCTATTCTCCAAATGCAGGCACAGTGAACTGTCCCTGCTCAGAACAGTGTCTCCCCAGTTTGCACAGTAAAAGCCAAAGTCTGCATTAGGGCCTACATGATCTTCCCCTCTTTTTTTTCTTTTGAGATAGAGTCTTGCTCTGTTGCCTGGGCTAGAGTGCTGTGGCATCATCATAGCTCCCTGTAACCTCAAATTCACAGGCTCTAGCAATCCTGCCTCAGCCTCCCTAGCAGCTGGAACTACAGGCATGCACCACCATGACTGGCTAACTTTTCTATTTTTCGTGGAGATCCCACTCTTGCTCAGGCTGGTCTCAAGCAATCCTCCAGTCTTGGCCTCCCAAAGTGCTAGGGTTACAGTTGTGAGCCGTTGCACCCAGCCTCTTCCCCCCTCCTTTTAACCTCTGACTTCATCTTTTCCCTTTCTTTCAGTCTGAGTTAGCCACATGGGCCTCCTAGCTGTTCCTCCATCACTTTAGGATTACTCCGACCTTAGTATCTTTCTTTGTACTTGCTGTTCCTTCTGCCTGGAATGACCAGCCCTAGACCCCCAGAGCTTTGCATGGCTCCCTCCCTTGTCTCTTTCAGGTATTTGCACAAATATCACCTCTGGGAACCTATCAAAAGAAGTCTTCCTTGGCTGGGCATGCTGGCTCACACCTGTAATCCCAGCACTTTGGGAGGCTGAGGCAGGAGGATGACTTAAGGCCAGGAGTTTGAGACCAGCCTGGGTGACATGGTGAGACCCTGTCTCTACAAAAAAAATGTAAAAGATTAGCTAGCCAGGTGTAGTGCCATGTACATGTAGTGGGGAGGATCACTTGAGCCCAGGAATTCGAGACTGCAGCGAGCTATGATCACAGCTCTGCACTCCAGCCTGCACCCTTTGCCACTTGCTATTCCCTTATCTTGTAATTTTCTTCACACTGCTTATCATTGCCTAATAAATACTGCCGATGCATATACTGTATATATACGTATGTTTATATATAGTGTGTATTTATATAGCATATGTGTATATTATCTATCTCCTGCCATTAGACCATGACTCCATGTGGGTAGCAACTCCATCTCCTGTGTGGCCACCTCCACAGCACATGGCACAGTGCCTGGCACACGGTGGGCCACTCAATAAATATTCGGTAAACCAAAGAATGAATCAGACACTTGACTTGTGGCAGGACTGTGCTAAAGCATTTGACAGGCACATCGTTTCTCACAGCAACAGCCCTCTGAGGAGAGAACTAGCGTGCCTGTCATCTCAGGTGAGGCTCGAAGAGCTGTGGTTCCTCAACTCCAGGAGACAGAATTGGGTCAAAGACCCTAATCTGTTTGACTCAAAGCACCTCCTTGTCTCCAACTTGCTGCCTTCTACTAGAACAAGCAGTGTTTTTTATTTGTCTCCCTTGCAGTTCTTGTATTAATATAATTGTATTCCTTGTATTAATATATAGCAGGTGCTAAGTAAAGCAAAAAATAACTACATGTTTCCTTGAACCATCACTCAAACCGACAGTACTGAAGATGTGTTACGGGGCCCACAGGATGTTTCTTAAAGCATGGACACTTTACCCTTGAACAACATGGGTTTGAACTGTGTGGATACAGTCTTAACGGATACAGGAAGAAGCTAATTTCTGGCACTTATACATGGATTTTTTTCAATAAAAGTTACACTGTGCCTGCCTCTCCTGCCTCCCTTCCATCTCCTCTGCTTCTTCCGCCTCTGCCACCCCTGAGACAGCAAGACCAAGCCCTCCTTTTCCTCCTCCCAGTGATGTTCAACATGAAGATGATGAGGGTAAAGACCTTTACGATGCTCCGTTTCTCTAGCTTACTTTATTGTAAGAATATAGTAGATAATACATGTAACAAAATATGTGTTAACCAACTGTTTATGTAATGGGTGAGGCTTCTGGTCAACAGTAGTGAGGACTGAACTCTGCCCTTTTTTTTTTCTCTTGCCCAGATTCCTTTCTAAGAGGCCTGGCGAGTCATGCCTACAAACAATAAAATCTCATTAAATGTGTTTTTATTGACCTGGTATAATGTGACTTACTTTCCCACCTGATTCCAGTGTAGTGTCACATGACAGAAGACCCCCTTATCTTAACTCAAGCATTCCTTTCTACTGACTCTTTAGACAAAGCTTAACTTTTTTCAACTAACTGCTAACTAAAGCATCCCTAAAACCCACCTATGACTTGTAACACCCCTGCCACCCCGATTTGAGATGTCCCACCTTGTCGAGTCAAACCAATGTACACCTTCCAGGTATTGATTTATGGTTTTACCTGTAATTCCTGCCTCCATCAATGTATAAAACAAAACTGACCTGGCTGCCTCAGGCACATTTTCTCAAGACCTCTTGAGACCATGTTTCCCTAGCTGTGATCTCACACATTTGGCCCAGAATAAATCTCTGTTTTTTTTGTTTTTTTTTTTGAGACAGGGTCTTGCTCTGTTGCTGGGGCTAGAGTGGAGTGACATCATCACAGCTCACTGCAGCCTCGAACTCCCAGCTCAAGCAATCTTCCTAGCTCAGCCTCCCAAGTAGCTAAGACTACCACACCACCACACCTGGCTATTTTTAAAAAATTATTTTTAATTATTTTTTATCTTATTTTTTGACAGCCAGCAAGCTAAGAATTTATTTTTAAAATTTATTTATTTGTTTTTTGAGACTGAGTCTCACTCTGTCACCCGGGCTAGAGTGCAGTGGTATGATCATAGCTCACTGCAACCTCAAACCCCTGGGCTCAAGCAATCTTTCTGCCTCAGCCTCTGGAGTAGCTGGGACTACGGGCATGTACTACACCTGGCTACTTTTTCTATTTTTTGTAGACGGGGGTCTCGATTTTGCTCAGGCTGGTCTCAAACTCCTGACCTCAAGTGATCCCCCCACCTTGGTCTCCCATTGTGCTAGGATTACAGGCGTGAGCCACCGCACCTGGCCTGAACCCTTACTATGTGTTAATCTCAGTTCCTTACACGTAATGAAACATTTATTCTTCCAACATCCCCATGAGGTGGTTTGTATTATTAACAATGCCATTTGACAGTTGAAGGAACAGAGAGGCTCAGAGAGATAACTCTTGCCTAAGGTCACAAAGGTGGTAAGTGGCAGAGCCAGCACTTGAATTCTGTCAGTCTGGCTCTTGCATTTGTAATCCTTGGCTTGATTGCAGCATATTACTTAAGTGCAGTCTAATGGATACAGGAAGGAGCTAATTTCTGGCTCTTGAAAGTTCAAATGCTTTTGCTGGCTTTCCCTGCTTATGCCCACATGGTTGATGAGACACCGCTGAGGTTAGAAATGGCCCCAAATGCCTGCCAGCCAGGGGCCTGAGAAGCTCCCTTTAGAGTTCCCAGCCACACTCTTGAGTCTCTTGGTTTTGCTGTTGCTTCTCCGAGCTCCAGGAGCAATGGTAGGCCTCTGGTGCTCAAACCCTTTGCAACTTGTCTCCCTAGCTTCAGTTCCAACCACAGTCCCACCAAACATTTGATGTTTCAGTTTCATTTTACCTCTTTGTCCTCTTAGCTGAGGGATCTTGGGCAAATTACTTTACCTCTATAAGCCTCGGTTTCCTCATCTGTGAAATGGGTTCATTGAGTGCTCGCCATGTGCTGATACTGTGTTAATTATTATTTCATTTAATCTATACCCCAAGCCTGTTCATTATTACTCCATTTTATAGATAGGAAAACTGAGGCTCAGGGAGGGTTAGTGACTTACTTCCTATACCTTGGAAGTGACGGAGCTGGGATTTGAACCCTATCCTGGGACCCTCATTGCTGTGCTCTACTGCCTTGCAAGGGCCTTTGCTTAAGACCCTCACCAACTGCATAGATGAAATCACAAGCA